AAAAGCTATAGTGGCACAGAAAACCCAAAACTGGCCCCTGGACTGGTTCATCAGTTCAATACCCATGTTCTCTAGTTCAAGTTTATTCAATGTGGCCTTAACAGACCATATCAGACTACTAGAGAAGGAGTACTCTCCATCAGCCTTGATTTAAGTCAGTGAAACAGATGCTTGCTTCAGTCACTAACTCTTCTACTGGCAATACACAGGGTCTGAATAATGATCATGCAAACTTCTTCTTTGTAGCTGTGAATCGTTCCATGTACTACAAAGAAAACAAAGATTCAGAAGTTAATACAAGATTCATTGTTATTGAAAGCAGCTAGGCTTCTGCTCCAAGACTCAAAAGCACCCTGTATCAAAAGCATCCTTTAATTTCCCATATACTACAGAGCTTTAGAGCTCCCAAACATTAGAGCTTTAATTTCAAAGAAAAAAACTCCAAAAAATTCTGCCATTTGCTGTAATTCAGATTAATGTTCCAGAAAGCAAGTCTTCACAGTGCTGAATAGTCAAATCTCAAGGGTTAAGCATGAGCAAACAGTTAAGAATGCTGCATAATAAGCATCATCCATTTTTTTTGTCCCATCAAAGTGAAGACATGCCTATCATCACCACCTACCCTTCAATAGATGCTGACGAAAGAACACTGATCCTGAATCCTATGAGGAAGCTGATCTCTAAAGAACTCCAGAAATTCCTTTCTGAGGCTAGTTACAAATCCAGTACCAGGGACAATACCAACAGACTGTGCTTTTATTCACCAGCATAAATGCTTAGTACTCTGAGGAGGTACTGAGTAAGGACTTCACCAGAAGGTTCTTTAAAAAAGCCACACACACAAGAAAGAAAGACACAAACCTTGTCATAACCTTCCAGTTCTCTGAGTTTCTTAATTTCAAAGAGGTTGCCTTCTACTGCAAGCAGTGAGATCTGGGAATCACTGAGGATACTCTGAGGAAGCATGCCGAGTTCTAGGCAGTTTTCCTCTAAACGCAGCACTTTGAGGCGTGGACAGTGGGAGATCTGCACTGAGATCTGGGAAATCTGGTAGAAAAGAGAGAAATGAGATTAAAATATTAGTAATCCATGATTACTTCAAGTGATTTGTTCCAGGCTAATGTGGAACAATTACCTTGTAAATATAAACTACATTAACAGTAAGTACTTGACAGCAATGTGTAAGCAACCATAATAATAATCAAAAGTCCATGTAACTTTTTGTTCTTCCATGACGACAGGCAACCGATACATGTTTATCAGATTCCTGCTAAGAACTGTTCAAATAATTTTCTATATGACTAGGTTCAGGATTTATCAGTCAGTCAAATCAGGAAGTGGGATGCATCAGTACAAAAATTCTAGTTGTGATCCCTCATTTCTGTTGAGTATGGGGAGGTCTTTTAGCTATAAAGTTGTGATGGTTTGAGTTTATGTTCCCTGAATGTACTAAGTCCAAGACAGACCACATCCTAAATCTACATGCCCATAATATTTCTGTTACCAGACCTGATTCTGATTCAAATTGAGTTCAATAGCCTGCAATTCTCCCACACTGTCGGGCACGTTTTGGATCTGGTTTTTTGAAAGATCTACCACATCCAAGTGGCGAAGACCACAGAGTTGTGTAGGCACAGTCCGAAGCTGGTTCCCAGAAAGGCTCAGGGTTTTGAGAGCCGAAAGCTGTCCAAACGCCGCCGGCAGCTGCCTCAAGTGATTGCCATTCAAGTGTAGTGTTTCCAGTTTCTTCAGTTTACACAGCTCCTCAGGTAAAGCAGCTAGAAACAAATGACACAACAAAGAGATGACCTAAACAAAGAGCAGTAAGTGTCCATACCCATTTAATTCAAGTAAGTTTCTACATGGAAAACAGTGCTATATTACAGTAATTTCTCACAGGATTCCTTTTCCAATGAAGGCACAGATCCCTGCACAGAAAGTTACGCCCAGTGACAACATGTGCTTTTTAACCATCTTCCATAAGTGTCTTAAAAATAATCTGCAGATAAGGCAGACCTTCAAATCACATCCTGAAAACACCACTCTCAGAAGAGTTTAGCCTATCAATCAGCTGTACTCCTTACCAACCACTTTGCCAACACATTCTATTACATTTGAATGACCACACAATTCACAGCTTCAGGTGTAGCTCTTTAAAGGTATTATTCAAAACTAAGTTCTCAGATAATTCATACTGTATCATGCCAGCATAAAAGCCTCACCAGGTAAGCTCTGTTGGCATTCATTCATCCCTCATTCTACCTACACACGTGCATAAGCTGTAGCACTTCTGAGCTGCACTACAGAGTCAGAGGTTTGTAAATCTGGTTTTCAAAAAGGAAGATAATACACAATTAACAAACAAAAAAAGTTAGTTTCCTCACTTCATCTGATTTTTCCATGAAGTTAGTTTTTTGTCCAACAGAAACAGTAACAACCACTGAATGGCCACAACCATTGAATAGCCACAAATTATGCAGCCAAGTTTCCCGCATTTGGGGTCAGCACACCTGGAGTGCAAGGGTTGAGCCTCACCCTGGGAAAACCACCTGCCTCATTATGCTGTCAAAGGAAGTGGTGCTCAATCTCTGTGGAACAGGCTGGAGATGCTGGAGATTGAACCCAGGACCTCTTACATGAGAAGCAAGCACTCTCTCACTGAGCTACATCCTCTTACCTAGCAGGATTCAAACCTACACAGGGAAACCCTATAGGATTTCAAATCCAATGTTTTCTACAGATGCTCTTCTTTACCAGTTCTCTGTGCAAGTGCTACACCATGAGACACTTGTAATTTCAGATCAGACAAGTCACAGCACAGAAACGTTATGGTTTTAAGTACTTACATGTCATTGTAAAACTGATAATACAACTAAGTTGGCAACTAGTTTTGAAGAATTTATGGTTCTGGACTTTTTTCTCCTGTACATGATTCCCAAAGATTTCAGTTTAGGTGACTAAACTCCCCATTCACATCCTGTGAGAGTTCAACAATTACATTTAGTTTCTGATCAGAGAAATCAGGTTCTTGTTTTTAAAATCTACAGAGATATTAACGAGCAGACATACTCAGTTTGTTGTTGTTTAGAGCAAGGCTCTTCAACAAGGAAAATTTTCCTACGAGCGGTGGCAAGAGCTCTATTTTGTTGTTCGACAAGTCTATCGTCCGTAAGTTGCTTGTTAGCTTCTGCAGATCTTCAGGAAACTAGGGGGGAGAAACAATACAGCATTTAGATATGTTAGATATGTTATTTAGATGTATTAGATATGTTTAGCTCTGAATGTTCAAATTTCACAGCTTAGAATTTTAACTGAAATCTGTACCGTTATCACATGCTGTCGTATCAGAATGCCCAACCACCAGTGTGCAACTAAGCTGGCAAATTTGCTTAATACATATTTTTAAACATTTTTTTTCATCTGAGGAAAGGAAAAGGGATATAAAGGAGACAGTCTGACATCTAGGAAGTTGATTTTAATCCGAAGAATTTAAATAAAAAAGGGAGAAGGAAGTGTACCATGACATGAGCTTGGTTATATTTTAATCCTCTTGTGTGTTTCCCTGAACTGTGCCTGCCATTTAAAAACATTCTACAGCTAGTTAACAACTTTTTATTTCAGCACACTGGGAAATTTTACTCTTGCTTTCCTTTTTTATTAATTATGAAAAACATTTTCCTTTTTCTTATTTACATCCTGTACCACTTTACCCTGCACTTGGCACTGAGCTGAAAAAAAGAAAAACCTGGTCAACAGGCCAGTGATCTTGATTCTCTCTGGTTAGGCAGAGGAAAAGGGAAGAGAGAAGGTAGGATAGTAGAAAAAGATACTTCAGAAGTCTTGGAAAATTAGCACAATATAGGGTTATTTTGGCTATCCTGTGAACTGTTACTTGACTTATGATTCCAGCACATTCTGTGGTTTTTTGCAGTCAAGTCAAAGTCAAGACAATTTCCAATATAATAAACTTCAAGAAGTTTGCCGCATAAGTATATAAACGTGACAAATTGTGGAGTATCTTTCTAGGTAATGATACAGTTATAAAATTTACAGGTTTTCCCCTCAAGTTTACAGCCTTTTTTTTAAAACAGCACAACAACATAACAAGTACTTCTTGAGCATATACACACTCTAACGCATAAGCTCATAAGCATACAAGTGCCCTGACAGATAAATCCTCTATCAAAAGATAGTAAAAACAAAAAAAAAAATCAAGCAAAAAGGAAAAAAAAACAAATTCATGAAATAATTTAATCCACTATTAATTACAAAAAGCATACATATGAAGTGCATTATGACAGAGGGGGGAATTTCTCTCCCAAAGTGTCAGTCATGCACACAAACTGCCACATTTCCCCTACAGATACGTTACCTCTGCGAGACCCTTTCCAGTCAGCTGAAACACGCCAGTTTTCTGTGCTGTCTCCAGATGGGCCTTTAATGCACTATTTCCCATCCTAACAGTTCTGTCAAGCGTCCTGAATTTGAGTGACAGTCTCAGGCGGGTTCTCTCAGTTATCCTGCACTAGAGAACTGCAATCCGAAGTATCTGTGATAAAACAAATGTAAATTGTCATTTTATGTGTATCGTCTTAAACACTACAGGCATTTCATCATAATGAACCCCTTCACTGCTGCGTTTTCATCTGCCTCGTAACTAAAGTCTAGAACATAAAAGATTTACCTGGCTTAAGGTGCTTTCATTACAGCAACTTGAATACTGAAATGATACAAGGAGTTAAAACTAAGCGGGAAAACTGCATATTCTCCTAATTTTGCCTCTTTCAGGGCCCAGTCGTCTAGAGATTCTCCACGGCGACTGGCCATGATTTTAATGGCATCTATCAGCAATGACATGCTGTCAATGCTACAGTTCTATTTCTTTTGTTAACGTTTGTTTCATGTACAGACCTGACTCCTTTGCTGCGACTCAACAGATGCAGACACACGACATTCATCTCCTGTAACTCCAGCAGCGTTTAATCCCCAGCACTAACTACATGGGTTTACAGGCCGAGGGATTAGCTGCAGGTCTGTGGCCGGAAGGTGGGGAATAAAGCTTCACACAGCGCGCCAACAGCCGAGATAAGAAGGATTCCCCAGAAGAGAGTCAGCAGGACCCTCGGAAAGGGATGCAGCCAGCAACGACCCGCTGCAGGCCCGGCTATCCCCGCCTCAACCCTGCCACCGCAGGACGCGCCAGGGGCGCAGCCGGATTCAACCCGGCCCACCTTACCTGTGCAGAGCCGCGCGATGCCGCCCCGCTGCGGGCACCGTCCCGCGGGCTCCGCCTCAGCCCTTCCAGAGCTGCCGCTCCTACAGCTCTCACTGGCCCCCCGGAACCGGACGCACACCCGTACCCTTTCCTTCCGCACCCAACATGGCGGCCGCCCTCCGGTCACTGCCGCCGTCATCCGCCCGGGCTTCCGGGACACCCTCAATGGTGGAGCGGTGGCGCTCCGCTTCTTCAGCGATGGAGACCGTCAGCCCCTGGCCCTGCAAGGAGGCTGAGCCCGCGCGGGAGCCGCTGGAACTGAGTCTGCGGCTGTGCGCCGATGGTGCCGAGGAGCGGGGCGCCGCCGGGGAGCAGGGGGGCGCCGCGGCCGCCCGCTGTTCCTGGGAGATGGGGCAGAGCACGGTGGTGAGCGCCCTGCTGGAGCGGTGCCTGGCGGCGGGCGCCGTGACCCAGGTAACGGCCCAGGGCCTGGAGGGGGCCGCGCTGGAACGGCAGCGGGGTGGCAAAAGTTGCCTGTGGTGAAGGCCCTTCGGGCCCCTGTGTCCCGCCGGGCTTTCCTGCGTGCGCTGCCTGACCTCCATTTCCAGCCTGACAGGCCTCAGTGCTTACCCGCTGTGGAGCCGGCTGTGTCCTGAAGTGAGACTGTGCTGAACATGCTGAAGTGTGTGCCTGTTTGTGTAACTGATTGCGAATCTGAGTTTTCCCTTTTAGTGTGGGATCTCTTATGGTTTTGGCTGGTGGCAGCTTTCCTTACTAGGAATAACCGTGCCTTCTGGTGCATGGAGCATAGACGCAAGGGGTTTGTTGTGCCCTGTGGTGTGTTCCAGCAGCATGCAAGCCAGTGTCGTTGAGAGTGCTCTCATTATGCCTTTTATGAGATTTTATTTTCGCTAGTGTTCATTTTCCCTAAAAAACGCATCTATTTTATGAATTCTTCAGATTAAATCTTCTGTATTCCTTAGTGTGAGAGTGTAACAGTAACTTTAGATTCTTAAAAGGTAATCTAGTGGCTTTGCAGCATGTGTTCTTGCTCTGACTGCATTTTTCCCATTGTTTTCTTTTCACAGGAGACACTGGATTTAAACTGTAGACCTCCCCCGTGCTTAGTGAAATTCACAGAGATGGAAAGAATGGCAAACATGCGAGCTGAAATCAATGAGGTACAGCCTTTACTGTTGTCGGTGTGCATGCAATGAGGTACAGCCTTTACTGTTGTCTGTGTGCATCCAGTGAGGTACAGCCTTTACTGTTGTCAGTGTGCATACAATGAGGTACAGCCTTTACTGTTGTCTGTGTGCATCCAGTGAGGTACAGCCTTTACTGTTGTCGGTGTGCATCCAGTGAGGTACAGCCTTTACTGTTGTCGGTGTGCATCCAGTGAGGTACAGTCTTTACTGTTGTAGGTGTGCATCCAATGAGGTACAGCCTTTACTGTTGTCAGTGTGCATCCAACGCTTCAGCACTGGATTCAGTGGGGATAAAGTTATTTTCTTCCTGGTAGCTGGTGCAGAGCTGTGTTTTGGCTTTAGTCTGAGACTAATGCTGAAAGCACACTGATGGTTTAGTTATTGTTAAGTAGTGCTTACCCTGATCAAGGGCTTTTCAGTCTCATGCTCTGCTAGTGAGGAGGGGCGTGAGAAGCTGAGAGGAAGCAGAGACAGGACACCTGACCCAAACTAACCGAAGAGGTATTCCATACCACAGCACATCATGCTTGGGGTATAAACTGGGGGAGTTAGCTGGAAGGAGCTTATTGCTGCCCAGGACAGGCTGGGTATCAGTCATCGGGTGGTGAGCAATTGCATTCTGCATCACTGTTCTTCACTGGGTTTTTTGCTTCATTTTTTTTAGGGGGTATGTGTCTGGTTGGGGTTTTTTTCCCCTTTCAGTTTTATATATTTCTCCTTGCTATTTCCCTTTTCATTCTAATCATTAGTAGTATTAGTATTATATTGTACTTTAATTATTAAACTGTTCTTAGGCTTTTCCCTCCCCAGTATTCCTCCCCATTACACTTAGTTACCAGTTGGGGTTAAGCCATGACAGTGGCACTTGATGATGTATCAGAGTGCCATGTGCTATTGTTTCATGTTTTGGGGTTTTAAACAGTTTAGCTGTTAAACAGTTGGTACTTTTTCCCCACTGTGAGTTGTCATAAAGAACAACATTATGAAACAAAAGGTTTCAATGTAACTGGAAAGATGCAGCAGCCTGCATCTTTGATTGTTACCTGAAGTTCTGTGAAGAAACTGAAGAACAGGTAAAAAATTTGTAAACAAAAATGTGTTTATAGGCAACTAGACTATCTGGTTGATTAGCAAGAGGTAACTTCAGTCATCTCCTCCTGCCTAAATTGGCTCTTGGCTTGTATTTTATGTTGATGTTTTCTGAACATTTGTTGGTACAAAAACTGTGTTTAAGTCACACAGTGTGGGCTCCAGCAGCTTACTGCAGCTGCTTACAGCTTGCTGCAAAGCAGTGTGACAAATTCACCATTTTTTTGGAGGATGGGTTAAACAGGTGGTATCATCCTGTATTGATAGGCAGAAAGAACAGTTTCTAGCTCACAATAAGGTGGCTGCTTAGCATCCTTTGTTGGAAGGTTTCACATACAAAGGACCCTCTCTGGTAAATGGTCAATATGCTATGAGTGAAGCATGTTTATTTATGTCCTCTCATCAGTGATCAAGAAAAGCAAAGCAGCAGCTCTCTGTGTGTCCTGAGAGACTGGCATGTCATCATAATCTTCTTCTTTTGTACATTCCTCAGTCATCTCTTATCTAGCCAAAATGGCCAAAACTCAGCCACAGGAAGATATCTGCTGTTCTTGTGCTGGTTTATTATTGGAAAGAATTAAAGCTAGGAGTTTTCCGTGAGAGAGCTTCTCCCACAGCTAAAAAAGCCCAACGCAACACAGACCCTCCAGAAGGAGGGAACTTGGGGCTGCAAAAGGTTCTTTAGTAGAATGCAGACCATGAAACTGCTTTGTAGGAGGTCTTAGTTTCTGTGTTTAGGAATGGATTGCAAAATCTCTCTTTTCCAACATAAATTCCCAATAAGCCACCAAATTCTTTAGCTTTTTCTAAACAGTCTTTTCCTATTGACCACCCGCCCCCCCCCCCCCAAGTAGTGGTAACACTCCAGAGAGCACAGTAACATGCTCTCTTGCAAATGCTCCCTCTCTGGTGTCTTCCATACGTGTGCTCTCCCCCATGCTCCTGCTTTTTCCATTTCCACCCCAAGAGGGTCAACAATATCTGGATAAGTAGGTTAAAAATGCATCTTCATTTGATGTTGTTACTGTTATAGATGAAACTGAAAACTGAAATCTTGCAGTTGGAGAAGGAGGCAGCAGACATTACTCACCCTTTTTACTTAGGTAAGTGCAGTTGTACCTTCGAAAAAACAAGAGTGTTAAATGACTTTATCAGCATTTTAATGTACCTTCTGAGTACATACCACTTGTAGAATTCGTTGCAGCTAATTAGGGGTAGCAGGTGCTTTATGGGCCTGTAATGAACACTTCCATACTATCTGAACTTGCGCTTCTGTGGCAGCTCATTATCCAAAACAGCTGGGGGGGGGGGGGGGTGGACAGCTCAATGCAGCATCAGGAATTCCCAGATCATCCATAACCTGATTTGATTCCCTTGGCCTGTGTGCTGACTTGCTGCTTTTCCAGTAACTCAGTGTATTTTTGCTGTATCTGTATGCCTCTAAAATCACTTGATATTTTGGAGCATGTGGATTCATTTCTTGTGTGATCTGATGGATGCTTAAAAATATTGTAGCTTGCTACTACTGTGTTAGGCTAGTGAAGTATATTGTGATACTGCAGTGCTATGCTATGGTCTTAAAAAGTTGGTTTCATTTCAAACAATTTACTTAAAACTATAGATAAGTAAAATTAACAAAGCAGTATCCGTAAAAATCAGGTATTAAGACTTTGAGGTGCATGCTGATACTAAATCCTATAAGCTCTAACAAAAGTCATTCTGATTAATGATCTCTTTCTTGAATGTAGACTGTCCAGTGCAAGAGATCAGATTGTATTTCTTTCTCCATAAGAAATCTTGCTCTTGTTTTAGCAGGACAGTAGGTTCAACTTTGCGATCTTATTTTATAGGCAAAAAATGTGAGATTATGCAAGATATGAACAGACACTTGGAAGCCGTACTGAAGGAGGAGAGGGCTCTTAGAAAGAGGTTGCTGAAGCCCAGATGTCGAGAGAGCCTGCCTATTGAGGCTACTTTCCACAAGTAGGCATATAGAAAATAATTGTTCTTTGTTTGCATGAGTGCAATTCATTTGAACTAATAAGCAGTAAAAATTGCATGTTTTCATTCACTTTTCCATTGATTAGAATACAAATAAAAATGGTAGCAGAACCTCAGCTAAAAGCTAGTAGTTTACTCATTGCTCAGTTTGTAGAAAGGTAGTGGTACATATTTTTATGAATATTTGCTTAGGTTATTGGTCTTTTGAAGATTACAAAACAATTTGTGATCTGTTGTTTCAAACAGGTATCTTAAATTCATTATGCTTCTCCATAGGCAGGAATTGTTACTTTAGCATTTGGTGTCTTCCTTGCTCAGAATAAGTGTGTGAATGATTCCCAGATATGTACAGTACATTTAAAAAAAAAATAGTAGTTCTTATTATCAAAAAATCTAGTGTAGTTACTGACAAAGTGCACACCCACTTCTGTAATTCCTGCCCTACTTGTTGCTGAGAGTTACAAAAGAAGTGTCATTACAGAGAAATTAGTTAGAAAACCCATGTGGTGAAGAATTAAGAGCTAGGAAGTATTAAATCCTCATTGTTTTCCACAACTTTTGAGTAAGGGCTCTTTCTTTGTTACAGGGATATAGTAGAGTTGTTGACTGAGGCTGTAACTTTCATTGAGAAGCTTGAAAGCCATCTGCAGACCATTAGAAGCAACCCTCAGATACCAAACATGGTGAATAATATGGTGAGTAGCAAAAGAACTGGGTCTTCTATCTCCTCCAGCATTAAGAACTCAATGCTGTTTGGGTGCTTAGGTCAGTTTTGTATCCTGCTAGATTGACAGGGTATATAGAGATGAAATCCTTCTCTTTTCTACTTCAGGAGACAGCTTTGACAAAAACAGAGTTGCTTGTGATAGAACTGGGGGAGCTGACAGAGAATATACTGAAGTGGAGAGAACTTCAAAGAACTTCCAACATCATCTGCAGTACTGCTGAATTGGACTTTGGCTTATCTGTAACCTAAGAAATCATTTTCCTCAAATAGGATGCCTATTCAAAGAACTACCTTTTTACAGTCTTCTGTGAAAACTACAACAGAGTTGTGGTGCTTTAGGGGGATTTTGTAGGTAGTTATGTTTCTGTTCTTATACAACAGTTCGTGAGCTGTAGTTCATGGAAAGACAGACTACCGAGAAGACTGTTAAGGAGTTCCTCTTTGAAATAGTTGGACAAGATTCTCTTGGAGCCTGTATTGTCAATGCACATTTGTTTTGATACTTCTTTTGCACTTGCTATAGTGTCTCTGTTTTCTGTAAGGATCTTGATAATATGCTGTATTTTGTATGTTGCTATAAAACTTTAATAAAAGCACTAGATTTCAAGAGCTTAGTTTCTTACTTTTTATTTTGTTACTGAAGTGTATAATTAAAAGAACAGTGCAAAGTCTTGGATCTCAGCTTAGGCTTCTGCAGGAATTCCAGCCAAGAAATTAAACTAGGTTTACGTTACAGGTCATTATGGTTATGATGTGGTTTTGTGGAAACCAGGGAGGGACTCAGTGATACATGACAAACCACATGTCTGTGGTAGTGATAAATACATTGCTCAGTCTCTTCTTTTCTGTTGCTTGCCTATTTTCAGTGCCCCCCCCCTTAGAATAAAAATCTTGTTCCATGAGTATGACTGAATTTAGCAAAAGCACTGATTGTTCTATTTTGCAATCTTACGGACATTTACATCATGAAAAGACTTGTTGGTAAAACGTCACTGGGATAGTGGGTGTCTTTGGATGATGTCCAGTTTCATATGCATGATGCAGAGCAAACTGGAAGTGGTGCAGATGTATTCCTTTCTACCTTCCTATTGTTAAATGAATTCTTCCTATGTCCAGCCTGTAGTTGATTGCCGTGTCTGAAAATGAGCCCTTTGTTTTTTGGAAGTGACCAGTAGGTGGCTCAGTACCACACAAATTTCACTATAGTTTGATGATTGCTTAAAACCTTAAGGTAGATTTAAGGAAGAAACCTTTGGCTCTTTGTTGAGCACACTCTGATCTCACTGACTTGTAGTTGGTCTACTCTACAGCTGAAATTTTCTGAGAATTCCATTTTAATCCCCAGAATACATCATTCTGCTGGGTGTGCGGACAAGGCATATAGCTTAACCATTTTCTGGCGTAGTGTGTAAGTGTAGCTGATGTTCGTCTTTGCTGCTGTTGAGGAAAGTTAAGAGGATGGACACAATTTGGATTGAGTCAAGCAAAAGGTCAGTAGATAGGATCTGAGAATATGAACTGGTGTTTCAGTCCCACAAACTTTAATGGGCTCTTTGTGTGAACACTTGTACGTCATCGCAGGATTTGAGTCCAAAGTCCCATGTCAATGTAGTTTCAGATGTGGAAACGAAGGTCTTGACACAATGTGGAGGAGCTGGCATTTTTATTTAAAGTGCTTTGCACATTCTGTGAAATGAGAAGAAACAGAATCCAGACTTCGGGAATCACTTCCTATGCATCTGTCACAAGCTTAACCTCTCACTGCCTTTCAGTGATGAGTTAGGTCAGGCAAATCAAAACTGTTGTAATATAATGCTTCCAGAAGTCGGATGAAAGCATTTCTGGTTAGGTTGTTTGTTGTAATCCGGTGAAGACAAACGTGGTTTTGCCATGTCCCAGCGAGTTGAGCATATTTTCTTCTTTTACTGTATCCGTTACTGGAGAGTTGACTGTGGAGGTGGTAGAATTTAGCTAATACCATTTGCCATTGATGTACTAATTCACTCTTTGCTATGATTAAATCACAGAATCATAAAATGATTTGTATTGGAAAGGGCCTTAAGATCATCCAGTTCCAACCTGCTTGCCATGGGCATTGATGAACCTGCTGAAATAAACAGTGATTCATGGCTCTATCTATCTGTTTGTGTGTCTATCTATCTGTCTATCTCTTCATTTTAACATTTTGCTGGTGGGTCATGAATTGGCAAAAGTGTTGGGCTCAAGGGATCCATCCTATACTTCACTTTGGAAGGTTCTCTACTGTGTTATCTTTTTCATTTACATCTAACGTTTCTGAAACCTAAGGCAAATTGTCTCATGAGGAGAACTAAAAGTATACTGTACTTAATAGTACAGTTGAAAGGCAATTTAAACAAGTTGTTTAAATAGTCTGTTAAATACTCCCATAGGATATTCAGATATAGATCAGTTTTGCATATTTTGAAATGCAAAACCAGAAAAAGTCCAGTTAAAAATGAGCAACAACACTGGCAAAAAACAAACAGGAATTCTGTGTTGAGCATCTTGTTTATGCCAATGCTCACTTCACGATAATGGCAGTAGCTGACACGGAGAGTATTCTGAAAGCATTTTTTTTCTTTGTAACTTTGTGGGGTTAATATTACTTTTGTTAATGCAATTGTTTGACATTGACTTCAATTACAGTCCTTTGGAAGTTTCAGCGTTATGTTTTACACCGTAAATACAACCCACACGAAGACTGGAGGTTTTCAGAGGAATTTAAAACGCTTGGGAGCTTTCCTTTAGCACCAGTAAGGAAGGGATGGATACTCACCTTCCTTAAATTACTGTTAATTAAAGGTGGAATGCTTTGCACTTTAAACACTGCTGATTTTCCGATTGCCCTCACGTTCCTAGGAAAAGTGATCAAACGTTGGGTTAGACCGGCAGTTCTTTACTCGTCAGACAAAGGGGGTTCTCTTGGGTAGTCCCTAGCTAGTGTCTTCATGGCAGCGCCCGTTTAATGGTGCTGGGGCACTGAACTCTGAAGTTAATCCCAGGCTGTTACGCTGCTACACATGGCAGTTTAGTGGTGCTGCCGGGGGACGGTGGTGATTTTCAGCCTGCAATCACAGTCCCGGGCGGACCTGTTTGGGTCGGAAAACCCCTCTTTGGGTGCCTGAGAGGCTGCCGCGGCTGCTCTGCGGGGTGTTCCCCATCCCCTCCTCTCCGCCCGGGGAGACTTCCCTCCCACTCAGCGGGGGCTGCCTGGGCTGGGCTGGCTCCTCCTCTCCGCCCTCTCCCGGCTCCGCTCCTCCCCTCCCCGGGCGCTGAGGCGCCGCGGCGGGGCCGTGATGCGGGGCAGGGGCGCTGCCGGCCGCGGGTGCTGTGCGTGACCGGGCGAGCCATGGCTAACGTCAAGGTGGCCGTGCGGGTTCGGCCCATGAGCAAAAGGTGCGGCGGGGCGCGGCTGGGGGAGCGAGGGGGTCCCGGCGGCAGCGGGGCGGCTGCGCGGGGTGACAGGGTACCGCTGGTCCCGGCACCGGGGACTGGATCGCCGCGGTGGGGTAGCTTAGCTGGGGCTGAGGAGGGAGGGACGGACGGAGGTGCCGGGAGCTTAGCGGGGAGGTACGAGGGGTTTCCTCGCTCACCAAAGAGCTTGGAAAGTTTTCTTGGAAAAGCCTCCCACTGGAGCTGTCAGATGACTTCCCTCTTCCTGAGCTCCCCCAAAGAGGAGCGCAGTCATCCAGTGTCGGGGAATCTTCCCTTCCCTTTCTGTTGTTGCTGTTTTTTCCAGCGGGAGGCAGAGCCGGATATTCCCATTGTCGCTCTGCCCCGCTCACCTCCCCAGTTCACTTGCCTCCAATGGAAATCCCAAAAGCTAAGGGATACAGCTTGAGGACAACTCCCACAAACAAGAAGATGCCGTAGCACATACCTGTGGTGTTGTCCGAATATAATGCACAATTAAAACCACGCAGATTTTGGAAACTCGGGCAGGAAAGGAATAAAGCAAGCAGCCAAAATGTCAGAGGCTGGTAACTTACTCCTCGTAAACGCTATAGTGCTTCAGGCAGAAATGGCTTGAAGAGCAGTGAGAGGGCCAGTCCGTGGCTTGATGCTACCTTGATGTTTAAGCGTTGAGTCCCTCGTGTTGTATTCCGACTGCACGGACTTCTGTGACAATTAACTCTGGGATGTAGCAGAGAATTGTTCTTGAAGAGTTGACCTGCCAGAAAACAAGCTTAGTCTTTCAGCCAGAACTGCACTGGCATCTATCATTTGCCTGGATTCATAATATGGTTTTAGTACTCTGTTCTGTGAATGTAACAGAGACACTGCTGTCTAATTACAGTTTTCATGCTTCTTACTTCATTTTCCATAATCAAGTGTTAGTCCAAGCATTAGACCTTCGTGAGATACATTACGTCTGACCTGCTGGCGTTGCACAGCAGTTTCATTTTATGTGATCTTAATTTGCAGAACTTGTTTTTAAATACATTTTGCAGATACTGTGTTGGTTTTTATTGTGGTGGACTTGGAGTGCTGGGTTAACAGTTGGACTTGATGCTCTTAAAGGCCTTTTCCAACCGAAATGGTTTTGATTCTAAGCTGTTTTTGACTGAAGTTCTTACTTGTCAATGGATTTCTGATTTTTTTTCAAGAAAACATAGCAGAAAGTGTTGAATAAAATAAATTTAAAAGAATTCACCCAAAGCAAACCTGTTACTCTTAATAGAAAAGGTGGGAAATAATCTTCAAGTTTTCAATGTATTTTACCTTTAATTCGAAGCTAACTGATTTTAAAATGCTCTGTCCATAATTTCATTTAAAAATATGTTTGGGTAATACAGTTCCGATTTATTGTACAGCTGTGAACAAAACAGCTTTTAAGAGATAGTGGTATGTTGTAAGAAGAGTTGCAGCACTGAAGTGAGCCGAGTTTAACCTTCCATTGCCTAGTGTTGCTTTGGTGTTGGAGATACTATTTGATTTTTACTTTCTTCTGTTTTGTTGGTAATTCTTAGCATTTCCTGGTTAAATAAGTTGTCATTATGCTCTCTAGAAATAAAAAGCAGTAAACAAGAATTAACACTAAATGACAGTTTGGTAGTGATGCCAAGTTACCTAGACCATTTGTTTCAGTCCCGCAGAGTTTGCTGGAGACTGAAGGCATTTACAAGTCGGACTCAGTGATGTATTTCATTATGCAGTCAATGACATGTTTGTTTCTCCCACAATAGCATTTGGCTGCCTATTTGCAGTTATGCAGTGGGCTTAGTAGGGTTTCCTGTAGACATAAGTTAAAATGAGTGCTCTTAGCAGTTGTGGGAGAGAGGCCAAAGACTGATCTGGCAGGGATGTAATCTTCCCTCTCACCAGATCCTCCTTGGTGAGGAGCTCTGCACCATGAATGTCTTAATGGTTTCTACTCAGTGGGTAGCACTGAATAGTGTGTAACAGTGCATACATCATTACAGTATTAAACAGCACCTGTAACTGTCAGAAAGGGTTTGGTGGACATGAAAGCCTTCAATATAGTCAGTGTAGGCCAGCTGTTTGCTAGAGAATGTAGTTTGGAGGAGGGGGTAGGACCAGAAAGGTGGACAGCCTCCTGCACATGGGAGAGAAATGCTCACATTGAG